CACCACTTAGGGGATGACTTTGGCTGTAAAAGTGGGCCAGCTTGCTCGAATGTGAAGCACCTCCCATTCGGTCAGTTGGCAGCGCCGCTGCTGCTCGTTTACGGCAACCTGCCTTTCTTGCAGCAGAGGGCCGAGCGGCAACGCCAGGCGCAGCAACCTATGATCAGGATTCCCCTTATAGGGGTTCCAGGGTTTGCCCACAGGTATGTTTGAGTTTGTTTTTCCCCTGAAGCTTTGCACGAAGGGGGGGTCCGCAGATTGAGATGAGCTGATAAGTGGTGTCATTTCTTTGCTCCTGGATGGTTGGTGATTGCGCTCTTTAGATGGGCAGCTGTGTCTGGAAGTGCCAGCGGTTGGCAGCATGCTCTTCTTGTGCAGGTGGTGTTTCCCGGCAGGGGGGGAACCAGGAACATCACCCTGGCAAGTCTAAACACAGGTCGAACCCCCCTGCGCCCCAAACCTCTCCTCTCCCCAAGGGTTTTTGAGTGTGTCCTTTAATTGCATCCATGCGGATGAATTTCAGATCCTTGAATGCAGCATTCCCTTGCGGCTACTTGCCGGGTATCCCCTTCGTTCCCCTTCCTTTCGCCATCCCGTCCGCAGGCGGCGGCAAAGCGAGCGCCTGCCACTGCACATGCCGCGCACCGAGGTGATTCCTTGGCAACGGCTGGGTACCAGCTGGGCTGTGTCTGGGTGACCTTGGATGGCCGGGCAGCATTTTCTTCTTTTGGGAGGGCAGCTTGTTTTCAATGGACATGGGCCACATGGGCCATTCGCTTCCAGTTTTGGACATATGAGTCATATGAGGGGTTAGGCTGGATGCAGTTGGGCTGCGCCATGTCTACACTTCGGGCCAGAATTCGAGCACTGGTGGGTAAGAAGCAGTTTGTGTCAGTCCCCAAGTTGCCTTCAAGATGAAGCGAGCCCACTTTCGCCAAGCGAAGAGGGCGCGAAGAACCCTCTCTGCCCAGATAAGCCCCGGAGCAGCTTGGACGTAGAGTTCATGGAGCGGTCGGGGGGTTCCATGCAGCAGTTCTTTATGTTGGGTTCCTGGCCCGCCAACCCCGAAGGGTTTCGATGGGTTTGGGGCTGGTGTCTGCCGCTCGGACGTTTTCTTTACGGGTTTTTACCTGGGTCCATGGCCGCCTAAGAGGTGTCCATGCGCAGCTTGATTCGAGGTCGCGGGCTTTGAGATTGTGAACTTCGGGCAGATGCCTGGGGCCTTGGGGTAGAAGGGGTAGGACCAGGTAGGAAGGTTTCGTGGATGTGCCGCCATCTCGACATGCCACGTGGCAAGATGGCAATTTGCTCTTTGAAACTTTGGGTTTCGCCATGTCAGGCCTTTTGCCGAGGGCTTGCATCGGCCTCCCAACTGCCTCCCAACTGCAAATGGCCCGAACATGTTTGAGGAGGCCAAGCACAGCCGCGTGGGCCGAAACATCCAAAGGCGGAATTTGAAGTAAAGCAAAGAGAAGGTTGAGCTTGAATTTTGATGGAGTCTTGGGTCAGGAAGAGAAAGAAGTTGAAGTCGGTGATGCGGCCATGGGGATGTTGCGGGTTTCATCTCAGGCCCGATGTTTTGGAGCGGCCGTTCCCCACGATGCTGCTGCTCTTTCATCCAGCGCGGCCCCCTTCAGCACCCCCAAAAAGCTCGGGAGTGGGACTCACTGGAACTCATCAACCGGAGTAACCGGACTGGCTTGTTTCCTCCGGTTTTAGGTGTCCCCCCACGTTGAAAAAATTGCTTGAAGGGGAATGCTTCAAAGGCGTCGCCTCGGAGCAAATAGTAGCCTCCACAAGGCTAGCTTGAGTTTGTCCTTGCGTTAGGGTCCGGCCGCAAAACCAATGAAATATCCCCCGATTGGCGCCTTCGCTCCTTTTTCCACTCTTTTCGCTCGCTTTGAATCAGACTTCGGTCCGCTTTTCGCACCAAGTCACAGTGCACCTTGTCCCTTGCTCGCTTCGTCAGTGCCCCACTTTACATGGTCAACAGGTACTTTCTTTTATTTGTGTTTTTTTCCCCTTCCGGAACGGAAATCGCCTCTTAACTTGGTCAAGCAGGTGAGCTCCATGCACACCTAAATGGTATTCGATGCAAGCCCCTTCCTTTTTTTTAGAGGACACATTAGGGGAAGCCTTTTTATGGCACATTAGGGGGACCACTTTACAGTATCCTACCTTTTGTGTCTCCCCTTCACAAGTAAGTCAAAGCCATTCGTGGCTGGCCTTCTTAGCTTTTGGGATTGTGGACACGGGCCAAACAAGGATGGACAACGAGGCTGACTTGGCCTCGACACGTGTCCTTCCTGGTCTTTGACGCCATGGGTAAAGCGTGTGTGTGTGTGTGTGTGCACATTCCATCAGCATCATCGTGTCACACAGAGAACTGGGGAGGGGAGGGGGAACGTGAGGCAGCCAGTTTCTATGACCCGATAGCCGATCGTGCAGGTTGAGGTGGCGGTTGGTGTAGTGATGAAATGGTACATTTCCCGATTCACTTGACATCTACTTCCTCGTTTGCTATTGGACCCCAGGAAGTTGTTAAGCTCGTCTGACTTGATGTCCTTTGGATTGTTTGGAGGGGGTGGGGTTTTGGGGGGGTCAGTTCGTCGCCCCTCGAAGGCCACCTATGCCTCCAAGGCGGGCGAGTCATGGCTGGCCGCGGGTGGGGGCAAAGAGTCAGGCGGCATGTTTTTTTTTTTTTTTTTTTTTTTTCTTTTGAGTGTTTTTCGGGACAAACTGAGGAAACCTCGCACCAGGGGGATGCCACCCCCTGGCTGAAGGGCCCCCGTTTTTGTGGAGAGGACCTTGGTTGTCGGAAGTCTTGTCAGAAACCGACCAAACCGACCATTGCCATAGGGGGCCGGGCCAGCCGCTGAAAGCCTCCCCTGGAATGCCTGGGCGGGGCCCATTCTGAGACAAGCAGGACTTAGAGTACAAACACCTCATGAGTCTCAATGAAGCTGTTGTCTCGGGGGAGCAAACGGAGGGCATCTCGGTCCGATGGCGCATTGCGGCATTAAGCCCCCACTGCCCTGCAGATCAAGCTGCCAAACGTTATGTTTGGTGGATTCCATGTTTCAGCTTTCTTCTAGGTGGTTTGGGTTTGGTGGTTGCAGCTGAGGAAGTGGCTTCGCATGTATATACCAATTAAGTTACCAACCGGAAGCTGAGTGTTTCGCGGGGGTGAGGGCTTGGGAGGTCTTCCTTCCGGCCCTGCGAGACCTGGAAGGCGCCGGTTCGGGACAAAATGCAGTCAGAACCACCCTGCCCCCCAAAGAGCTCTCAAAGGGGGTGCGGGCTGAGTAAGCGACCGAGAACGGCCCGAATAAGGCAACATGTAGGGGGGGGGTCTGAAGGGTGGTTTGGATATTTGGGTTGGGGATTTAAGTAAGCCCACCATTCCTCTTGAAAGCAAAGAAGCAAGCGTCCAAAGGCCCCAAACTCACAACCATTGCCTGTGAGCTCTCTCAGACATCGCCTTGTGGGTCGAATCTTGTGAGCATCCTTCCTACCTTTCCGTCTTTGTGGATGGCAGCAGCCACTCGGAAACCCAGCGTAGAAAACTGGGTCCAGTGAGTGAGCATCTTAGGGTGCAAATGTCTTTCAAAGCCCACAGGGTAACATTTGGATTTCTTAGTGTGGACTTGCACCCGACTTGTTTGCAAGACCCCCCCGGTCCTGTTTGGATGGCATTGCGGCAGAATCCACAGTGGCCACTCTCTGCCTGGGGAAGAAGGTACAAGCACTACAGCCGTTGGGACTTTCTTACCGCGGCGCTGAAGGAACTTCTATGTGAGCCCGAGGCCTGCTGCGTGCCCATCACCTGCCGGTGAGTGTGGCGGCGCTGGACCTCACGGCGGAGCCGCTTGGCGGCTTTTCCGGGTGCCAATCCGTTCCGTTCCGTGGAAATCTGGCCAAGGCGAGAAACGGCCAGCCAAGCCACCCAACAAGCCAATCCAAGGTCCTTTGCCATGCCGAGTCGGAGTCGTGGACTTGCTGAGGCCGCAGCCACCGAAGGACTTCCTTTGGGAGTACCCGGCGGCCAGTGCCTCGAGGTTTTTTTGGACATCACGAGGGGTCCATTTTGGCGCAAGGGAAATGAACCCCCCTATCAAAATGACAACATTCATTTTGGATCGCGCAATGTTGAGACCGGCCCTGGCGAGCTGGACAAGTCACGCCTCTTATGAGTTTCTTTTACATTCTCAGGTTGCACTAGCACATGGTAGAGAATCAACCACGGCAGTCTTGGTGGCACCAGCTGCGGCTACGCCCGCTCGGCGCTGTCTCGCTCCCAGCGCGAAGGCGGTCACGCCGCACCTGCAGATGGTGCTGCCCAGGTCCATGGATGGCGAGGCCAGTGCGGTGGGGGGTTGGGTTAGGAAGGGCCCCAAAAGCCTTCCGAACAACGTGTCCCCAGTTCCAGGAGAGTGCCAATTTTTGGGGCCGCCAACCGGTGCGTGTTTTGTAGAAGGTGCCAATCTTTGTTTTTCCTGGCGGCACGTCTGTATCTGTCACAGGTTCAACTGTTCCAGGAGCCCCTCGAGCACAAGTGACTCACAAGTCTGTGATTCCGTGACTTGGCCGATGGTTTCTCCAGGCGGGGGTTCAGGACTACGAGGGCCAGTGGAGCGGCCGCGCGCTGGCGGGCGCGGCCTGCCGCAGGGGGGCTCAGATCTGCGGCTCACTCGGCCGACCGTTTTGTTTCCCCATGTTGGTCGACTCTTTAAGTAATGGCCCCACTTGTAGTCATGGCTCCAAGGGGGTAAAGCATTGTATGTCTGGGCACTTTGGGCGACTGAGCAATTCCAACCCACTTGGGGCTGGCATTTCCAAGGTGCAAAGGGCACCCTCGCACACCATTGGCACATTATTGAAAAAACACCGTTGAACATCAATCCTGATTGCTTGTGTTTTTTGGTTCCGTTGTGTCGCACTAAGTCGCTACGGGTTACGGGGTAAGATTGGGGGTTCTAAGCATGGGCGATGCCCTTTTTGTTGTTGCGCTTTTTTCCGCCTGCCAACTGTGTTTTCTGAGTGAATTTTACAAATGGATTCTGCTTGTGATTCGCAGAGCGGGGATGCTACAAGGGAACCGTGGCCATTGGCCCACAGTTTCTGAGTTTTGACCATGGCTCAGATGATCGCTTGAGCAAGGCTAGCCATGGCAACCAGCGACTATTACGCATCTTGTCGGGCTGTCAGGATCATGCGGCCAGAATCTGTCCATGGCTCCCCTTGTTGCGGCAGGGGCTTTTGGCATCTGCCATGCTCCATCCGCAGGGCTGGCGGGACCGCAAGCAGAGCTGCCAGCGGAGGCCCGGCAAAGCACCAGACCACCCAAAAGGTGTACGAGGAGGTCGCGGTCGTTCAAATGCACGATCCTGCTAAGAAGGAAGGATTCGTTCAAGGGAAGCAGAGGACGTTCCACTGACTATGAGTTTAGGTTGTGGCACAAGATTGGTGCGCGAAAAACGGGTTCCACCAAATGGGTTCCTGTCGGATGCTCGCACACGCACATAGCGGGTGCTGAATCCGTTCAGGACCTGCAGCACCTGGAGCTGGGCATCCAACGGCTGAGGGACTTGCTCTTTGAGCTGCTCTTCCTGGAGGAAGAAAGTTGCCGGATGTTGCGACGGGGTTTGGATGGCGATGGCCTCCCTACCCAAAACACAAAAGAAAAGCGAAAACAACAACAGACTCGAAAGCGTGGAAACAAAAAGCCCTGAGAGACAGAAGTGCCAAGCCAGCCCAAGCTCAGTACACCGCACAGACACAACTGCAGACTGTGCCGCATTTGCCGCGAACAAATTAGGACATGCGCAAATGCAAAAGCTCACATTCGAAAGGAAGATTGACCCATATAAATCTAGAGCCGACACCGCACCACTCGCCACCGGCATTTGATTGCAGCCACAACTTGCATCCGGCTCGGCTCACACTGAGTGCAAAGCAAACCATAAACAGAACCAGCTGAAGTTCCGTCATGCACAAAGATTCCGGAGCAGAAGACCGCACAATGCTATTCTCCTTGCCATTGCAGAAGCCATCATGATGCTCGCTGCGGTTTATAAGCAGCCATCAATAATAAATAACAACTCTGCATGCACTGAGCGTTCAGCACCAGGTGAACACTTTTTCTGACCCAAGTCGGACTAGGTCTGGACTCTTAATTGATCAGCATTCGCCCTGATGGTGTGTCCACCACTGCATTCCTGAAGATCCGACCAAATTCATTGAGTGAAGGCAGCACCGCGGAGCAATCTTCCAAACCGAGCTCCCAGTTGCGAAATTGCTTCATTGCCCTTCGTGCGCCTATCCTTGCCACACGGTGACTTGCAACTTCCCATTCACAGCTCTGCGGAGAGAATAAAAGGCATCACGTTGCATGACCAACACCACCGCATAGCTGCCGCAAGCACCTGCTACCCGGGCTTTTCCACGACGCAAGACACGAAACAAGATCCCACAACTTGCTACCAATGGAGATGTCCTGAGATCCAGGTGCCCAGTCAGAAACATGGCAGTCCAAATCAGTCAAAACAATACTACTTGGAAGATCTGTGGCCACAGCGCCAAGAGTAGACTACCAAAAACTGCCCATAATATTGTCAGGTACTCATACAAGACCACGTTGAGCCCATGTTTCTCATCACGTTACCGTTGGACACTTATTGGAAAGGCCTACCAAAAGAGTGCCTTGGCGCCTGCCGCAGGAGCCAAAGCAGGAAGCGCAGGCGTGGCGACGGGGTGTGTTTGGCGCAGGGCAGCTTTTGCAACTGACACCGATTCCCCGGGGGGCGGGGTTGTTAAAGCGAGCTCATCTCTGGGCTGTGCCATGGTCACGGTCAAAAGACCTAAGCTGGTCTAGCAGCGAGGTAGGTGCTAACAGGGCCACTTCTCTTTTTTGGTTTGTAGCACGGGTAAACCGTGGCCGATGTCGAAAAACCGGCGAGATGAAACTTTCCCAGCCCCAGCCGCAAGAAACAACGTAGGAAAACGCTGTGGGGAGGGGGGGGGGGGCACCTGATCAAGGGAGCATCTATTGATTCATTCCGAAAGCTTGAAGATGCTGATGCAAGGCATTCTTGAGGTGCTTGAGGGTTTGTTCTGCATGGTTTAGCTCTTTGGAGTCCGTTTTTTCATGGCATCTGGCATCCTGGCCGTCATGTCAGCTCAGTGGCATGTTGGGGGACGGGATGGATGGCACAGATCGCTTTCTAGCCGGCCTCAGTGTTGCCATTTTCCCTCCATGGATGAAGGTTCTGAGTTCTGGGTGTACGGTATACGGGTCAAGTTGGCAAGGTGTACTTCATTTTGCGCATGGAAGTGAGCAGTTGGTCATGCCGAAATTCTGCCAGCGGGTTGGGGCCTGAAACGTGAGTTGGAATCTCAGGGTCCATTCTGCCAATTGATTGTTTGCAGCACCTTCAGACGAAACCAATAAAACTAGTTGGTACTCTCCCCTGAAACACTGTCTCGGGGTGAAACAGCCAAGATCTCGGTCATCACTCAGTCGTGGTTCCAATCCACTAAACAAACGCATGCGACAAAGAACAAATGCAAGCAGCTCGCTTTGTGGCGTCAGGGCTGGCGGCAGTGGTTCCGGCGCGAGGCTGCAGCTGGGTCGGGAACCGGAGAGGACCGGCATGCAGCAACTCGGTTTCCTTCTTCGCCGCTGTTCTTGTATATATATTCTTAAACATGAGATACCCTTTTCACCTTGGCTCGAAGGGCAACCGAAAGGCAAAGCGTAATTTTCAGGGGGACCATCTTCTATTTTGCGGCATGCACCCACTTGCAGCCGAAGGTCATCTAGGCAAAGTCTCACGATTTCATCCATGGCGAAGGTCCTTTACCAGGTCTTCCTTGTTTCCAGTTTCTTAAAAGCAAATCTGCCCAACAGGCGATGAGTGCAAATTAGAACAAGCTCACTCGGGGGTGATCCGATCTCACTGAACATCCCTTGTGAATTCCTAAGCTTTCGGTTTGCTTAGGAGCAATCTGAGCGAAGGGAGCCATGGGACAGCCACATGCTTCGTGTTTTTTGCCCAGTTCCAAGCACTGACCGTCCTTGCAAATGTGGCCATTGCAGGTGCCCCAGATGGAGGCACAGAGGCGCCAGGCCGGGTTTTCGCGGTTGGTCCGGGCGGGTTCGTTTTCTCAAAACAACAAAGGGTCAAAGAGTTTGGATGTGGCTACAGCTATAGACGCCTCAGGTCCCGGATGGGCACGGGGACCTCATGATTTTCAGCTTCGGGTGATCAAGCAGAGAGCCCTGCACCTGAGGCGTGCGGGAACGCTAACAAGTTCAGAACGCAAAAGCTTTTGGGCAGCGCCTGTGTGTCACTAAAGCACGCTTGCACCTGCCAGCCAAACAACGAGCGGCCACTACAAGATCCTCTTTGCACCAGCTGGGATGAATGAAGCCAACTGGTGCCTGGCGTGGACGTGTAACCACTCTATAGGTGTGTTTTTAAACGGGGAACCACCAATTCTTGTCTCTACCAAGGGTTTTTTGTATTGGATGGCCTCTTGCTTGAGCAATCCAAGAGGCGCTAGAGCGGTCAGAGCGGTTGGCAAAGGACCTGTGCTTGTGCAGTATCTATCGCCCTTCCCTCCAAGGTTGTTGTCCCCTCCCCCCGCCCACAAGCAAAAAATACAAACAAACAGAAAAAAACAAGAAACAAGAAGTGTCTCTGCGGGACCCCCCCCATGGGTGATTTCAATTTGGCTTTCCGAACACCTGGTTTCATCCAGGCGGTGCAGGAGGCGGAGAAGAGCATCGACATCGGCCAGGGTCCGGGCCCGAACGGAGCCCGACTCGTGGGATCCGTGGGATCCGCGGGTTTGGGGTGGGGTGTGGGAAGTTGTTTCACCACTGGTCACCAGAAAATGCTAAGAGCTGTTTACTGCAGACGGTGTTCACACATGATTGCACAGGGGTTTCGCCCAACCCGACCCGGTTTGGAGACATGCTCTTTGGAGCATTGGCATGCGCGAAGGTCGCCGGGAGGGCAACTACTCCATGAGCTTCCAGCCTTGCATATGAAGGGAGGGTGCCCGAAAAACCGCCATCCCGAAAACCGGCTGGTGGCCCAGGTGCTGGATGTTGGATCGAAGGCTTGTCCTCCAGCTAGTTCTTCGTTGCCCAGTCGGTTGCTTCCTTTGTTCCATTTGCGTTTGGAAACGTATTCCTCTCAACAAAGGAAAAGGTTGCCTTGTCTCCCATGGCCACTGGGCTTCTGAGTCGAGCTGCTGGGTTTCTTGGTGGTTTTCTTTTGGATCCGTTTCCATAGGTCATGAAGACACGCGTCACCCACGTGTGTTTCTGCCTTTTCTCATGTGTATTCGCAGGCCTCACGAGAAGCAATGCCGCCACCCACTGCCAACCAGGCTGCTGTTTGAAACCAGGGTGTTGGCCCAGCACATGTGGAGAGCAGCCAGATGCACATTTGAAGGAACAAACGGTGAATTGCCCTCAGCCACAGCTGCCGTTATGTTTTAAGTCCTAACGGCAGCTTCATGGTAAGAGGGAACCAACCCAAAGCATGGTTTGCTACATCTAGACCACCTATGTCCGATCAGACTGCCAGCTTGCAATGGTTAGCAGCGTCAGTTTTGTTGTTTGCTGCCATCTCATGGTGAACTCGTCGCGCTGGTCCGAGGGCTCTAGGCAGCAAGGTTATCTGGAGCAAAGTGGCTAAACTTCCCCTGACTCCGGACAAACAAGCGAACACCACCAGATGTGGTGCCCTACTCAATGAAACCACTGCCATTCTGGGCCCAAAGTTGGCCTCCCCATGACTACGTAATTGTTCAAAAACTAAAGCCACAGGGTTCACAACCTGGGGTTCACGAGACTCCCGCACTCGGCCCGATCTTTGAGGTCTGACCTTTGAGGTATTGCCTCACCAAGAAAGTATCGGAACAGAACAGATTTCCATTTTTCAATCCACCCAAAGTCATCTACGCACTTGGATGTCCCGTTCTGGGGCAGAAGCCCGTCAACATCCCCAAGAAGAGCAGGCCAGGCCATACGGAAATGCAAACAGAAAAGAAGCCGCAAATGGCAAATGCCCCCACACAAGCTACACACACAGACAGACAGTCTCAGAGAGCCTGACAAACAAACAACCATGTTGCCCCAAATAGGCACATGTTTCATGGCACCCTTTTTTAGGAAGCCGCAGTTTATTTGGCGTTCAACCGTATTTTTGAGGCCCAAAACCAAGCCGGCACAACCTCCCGGACATCACGCCACCAGCGCCGTCGAAGCAGCCGCGATTCGGCGATGGCGAGCTGGGCCGCCTTCGGCTGCGGCTGCGGCCTTGGGAGTCTCTTCACCCTGCGGGCGGTGAAGCAGCGCCATGAGGAAGGGGCGCGTTTTCGCCGCGGAGCGAGCGAGCGAGCGAGCGGGAAAAGCAAGCAGCCAAAAGGGACATGCGGAGGTTTTTTGAAGGGGATGAGGTTTGGCCGCTTGGCCGCCTTTGGGAATATTTGTTGCACTTGGGTTCTCAAACATCCAGCTTGGCCGAATAGAGCGCGTTGCTTGTAGTTGAACTTGAAGCCTATGTTTTGGACTGATGGTGCTGAAGAAAAAGACGAAGCCACTTGGTTTTCATCAGCTCGACCGGCTTATGGGGAATTCAGGCCCCATCAATTGGGATGCTGGCCTGGGGGGGGGGGGGGGTTTGAGCCTTCCCTTGAAGCCAATAAATAAACGCGTGGAACACTTCCACGTCACTCCGGTCAGATGGCTGGCAAGCTGAGGCCCGAAGCTCACCTGAAACCAGGGAACTTGGGTAAGTGAACCTAGCCCAGCATGAGAAAGGGCATCCTTTCAAAATCCCGGTTTCGAGGGTGTGCAGAAATTTGCCCCAGAAATTTGGTGCGTCATTCCCAGGGTTGCGCTGGACGTTAGTTGCCTGACAGATCATAAACTCGGTTTTGAAAGGACACACAGTTTTGCATGGGTCCGGTGACTGTTTGGGCCCTTCCCACTTTTCTCGGAAGAAGTGTGCTTGACACGGCCCCCCCCAGCATTTGCACAAAATTCATTTGGGTAGGTGCATTGTTTTCGGGAAGCACCTTGCTTTTGTGAAATGGGCCTGGGTCGATGACTTTCCCCAGACTCAGTTTTTTTTTAGCGAAGCAGATTGCGGTTGATGCCATGATGTCTTCATCGGGAGCTTTTTATGCTGTGCCCCCGCCTCTCCGGTCCCCATCGAAAGGGAAACTAAATAGACCATTTTTTTTCTTCGGGTTCCCCCTATTTTAAGACACCCCCAGTTCAGATTCTTCAAGTTAACATGGAACGCAAAAGGGCGGTTCGAAAGGAAATTGCTAAACTGAGGGGTTTTCAGGTTTCATGCTTTGCCGGGAGTCCATGGAAGGAGCAGTTGGAGAAGGCAGCCACCCGGGCGAGCAGTCTGGCGACGCAACTGGAAGGTGAGACGGTCGAGGCCGGGTTGCCACTGGTTGAGCGCGGTGCGTCACACAAAGGGGTCTATTTTTCCCATGTTTTTTTTTGAATCTACGGTATAGAGTTTTCTTGGGTTCCATGTGAAGTTTGCGAAGGTGCACGTCCCAAACTTCGGGACCTTTCATAGGTCTCGCTCTTGAGTTGAGCAAACTCTAACCTTGTTGCTGCGAAACTTGTTCCTAGCGTTGGTCAACTGTGCAGGTCACTTTTGGATAGTCATAAGAAAGGGACACCAAAAGGAGCCTCGCCTTCTTTTGTGGGAGGGTCTGAAATTGGGAACGCCTCCTTTGGATGATGTTGCAGGCGGGGCCAGAATGCAAGTGTGCCGCCTATAGAAGCACTCGCAGCCACCAAGTCTAGATGTGTCATGCTTTCTGCGAGGCCATGGAAAGAGATGAACGAAACACCGTCTAAGGTTTCCTGCTGGAATCCATCGTTACGAAGAGCTGGGTGGTTCTGAAAGCTGCGGTGGGCTGCAGGGTCATTTCAGACTACTTGATTGGACACATGTTATGGCCCAAGGTGCAGGCTTAGTCAATGCCTCCGCGTCCTACGCTAAAGGGGTCAAAGGGATGCAGTACCTGGGATAGACTGCCACTCCGGCGCCCAGAAAGCCCGCATCGACTTTTTTGGGCCGGGGGGGGGGGGGTTGGGCTACCTGGTTCAACCCAATTGATGGACAACGAATGGTTTTGATTTGACTGATGGACAAACATCCTAAACTCCAGGAGGAGTGCCAGTGGCTCCACAGCTTGCTGCTCATCCTCTGGCCCCGAATTGACCGATTCTTAAAGGCCGGTCGGTCGCAAGAAGCGGCCGGGGAGGGGGGGGTGGTAATACAAGGGCTATATACTCTTGAAATGGTATGGGCCGAGAAAAGGGTTTAAACTACCCCACAAGCCTGTTCTATGTGTTCAGGTATCCTTTGGTGAACAGCATTTATGGGGACACAAGTCTCCAACTTGGAGCGTGTGTCTTCTTGGAGCTCTATACGCCCAGCTTGCAAAGTGCTGGGCTGGTGGGTGCAAGTGCAAAGTGTTCGCAAGCCCCTTTCGGCAGCTTCAATGGTTGGAAGGAAGAACCATCACGTGACACGAGCCATCGAGCAGGGCGATCTGCCCGATTCTAGATCAAGTGCCGAGGGTAGAAGGTGTTAGTTGGGCAAAGAGAGATAAAGATGGGCATGGCAGATTGAGGAAGGGCGGAAAAAGGGGAGGTTCTTCTTCTCGTTTGTCTTCCTGCCAGTGCTTGATGCTCGAAAAAGGGGATGCAGCAGTCTTCCTAGATACGGTGTCTTTTCTTGGACGGTTTCAAAGGCAAAGCAAAAGGACGACCATCATACAACAAGAAACTAAAGGGAAAGCCGTGCACAGAGAAACCAAAAGGGAACGAAAGGGAGCCAAAAGGAAAGAAAGGCGGCCTTCGGGTTTTTGATAAAAGAGCCATCTACGCTCGTCTGCGAAGGCAGCGGTGAACCGACAAACCCAAAAAATGGGACCTCCCTTCATGGCCCTAGGTGTTTTCTTAGCCTGACAACGGAAAAAACGTGGCAAGAAGAAAACATAACTCTTACGAGCTCCTCGCAGGTTCCTTGTGCCAGGAACTAGGATCTGTGTTTCAATGATTCAAACACGTTTAAACAGCGGGTTGCCCAACCCTGATTTGAGTTTGGTTTCAAAGGGCCAAACAAAAACAACATCACATGTCCAGAGTCGTCTGGAACCTAAGGCCTTCCCTTGGAGCTAGCCATGAGGCTAACTAACCGAGGAGTTTTCAGCCCCAATGTTTGCATCAGCCAGCATCGCAAGAGGTCCCTGAAGAATAGGATCCGCGCCTTTTCCCCGCCTTTTCCCCAGGACTAGAATCCCCTCCCGCCAGACATGAAGCCTTCAATCAGAACCTCTTCGATCAGGGCGTTTGTCCAAAGCCGACCTTTTGACGAGCACATTCGTGGCAGTCATCTTGCATCAAGCCCCGTCCCGCAGAGTCATTCTAGTCCTACTTGCATTTTTTTTGCGAAGTCGAGCAAAGCAATTGGGCACGGCAAGTCGGCCATTTTTGACCGAGCGCGAGAGAGAATCAGATGCAAGTCAGCCGGATACCTTTCCGGACCGTTTCTCCAAGCAGTTACGCCAGCCGACCTTCTGTCAAAGAAGCTCTTTTTGCCTTCCCTTCCCAGCGGACAAGTGGTCGTTTAGATAACCTATCTAGTTGTAACATGATTTCTTAATCAACCGGCTGGTTTCCTGCGAGCGATCCGTCGGAGGTAGTGGTGGAGGAGCAGGTGATTCCAGAGATCGACAAGGTGTCATGGTGGTGGAAAAGAGGATTTTGTGCTGGAAAAAATGACCATGGCCTTCTAAACTCTGGAGGATGTCTAAACTTTGGAGGATGTTGTTTTTTTTTCGGGTGTTGTTTTCTGCCTAAGTAGTCATGGGGACGTGCTTTGGGACCCGGGTTTGGGCAAGCTGGGAACCTCAAAACTCTCTCAGCCTCCCATGTTCAGCCTGGAGCAACTCGTTTGAGTTCTTCGCTTGCCCAACCAGCAAACGAGCAAACGAGGACAGGGTTTCCAGTGAGGCACTGCCCAAGATGCTCAAGGGCGCCGTGAGCTTCCCCAAGGTGCATCTCGGCCAGGCGCGGCACAAAGGGCACAAAAAGCACGAGCTCGCGTCGACGCGGGACGCGTTTGGCTCCGCGGGCCCTTGTTGGTCATTCGTTGATTTCTGTCCTGTGGACGGGGTTGCGGGAAGCAGCCTTCCCATTGAAAAACTCAGAACGCAAGGAGCTGTGCGGTGGGGGGATGCCTTTCTCCTACGTGTTGCTAGGCGAGCTATGCAGATGTGGGAGCGCCCATTTCATCAAAGCTGCCCGGGAATGCAGAGAGCCACGTGATTTTCCTGCAACAGGAGCTCCGCACAATTCTGGATGGCCATTAAGCGAAGCACATCCTCCGGTTTCCGGGGATTCCCTGTTGCGAGTCATCCCACTCGGACTCATTTTGGGAGCCGGAAGTGGCTCGAAGCTGGACAACAGGGCTGTTGTGGTGGGAGGCTCTTTGGAGGCCTTGCCCGGACCAGTGGGGCATCTTCTCTTTCTCTTTTTTGGAGGGGTTTCTCCGCGGGCCTCGTCAGATTCCATGTTAGTTGGGACGGTTTTTCGTTTCCCTCAAACAGGAGGTCCCCTTGAAGAGTCTCCAAGGGCCAATAAAACACTGACATTCACCAAACATGGACACCTGGAAGACATGCGAAAAGCAATACCACCCCTTGACCTGCCTGAAGTAAAACCGACGTTTCCGGCCCCATGCAGGCCCGATATGAGGGGGTTCCGTGCAGGGAAAAATCCCAAACCCCCGAAGCTTCTAGCTTGGATCGAACCTTTTCGGCAGAAAAAGGCCCTGAGAACTCAGGTTATGACCTTTTGGGTTGGCATGAGGTTTGCATTGCAGGTTTATAAGTTGATCCCATCAGATTAAGCCCTGTTGGCCTTGCCGCAACCGTGGCCCGCTCGTTGGAGGTGTCAATGTGCAGCTTTCCCTTGCGTTTTTTTCAGACGACACACCTGCGTGTGCTTACTTGATTGTTAATTTTGGCTTCGGCGCCGTAGCAACGCACAACATCCCCTCGCCCTTCTGGATATCCTCCCCTCACCCCCTTTGCCCCGCTTTTGCCCTCAACACCTTTACCCTGCTGGTCCTAAAGCATTGAAACCGCCTTCCGAGGTATTCTTTTCAAGGCGAGAAGCTTTTGATGTTAAAATTTCCTGCCACAAACCCGTACATTTGGGAGAGCACCTAGAAAAACACACTCCTCAAGCATGTCCGTGCCAAGTGCTTCCTTAATACAGAAGGTTTCTTTCAGTCAACGCCATGTCAGCAGGTGACGAAAGGGATTCCTAGTAGGGATTTCCCAATGCGGATTTCCCAAGAGTGAGTTCCCACTAGGTTAGCAATAATTCCCCCATCTGTGCCATAGTCAAAAGACACCCGTACTTGGGATTGGGATTGCTAGGGGCGGTGATTTAGCACAGGTGTAGACAACCATTGCAAGGGTTCATAGGGCTCGTGGCCATTGCCTGGAGGCACAATGGAGTAGCGCCCAAACGGCCTTTTCGGCAGTTTTAGCAAGAAAATAACAGCATTCTATGCAAACTTTTTATACCAATATTGCCATCCCACCGGCGGCTCCAGGCGGTGCCCCACTTCCGGGACATTTGCCTGAAGGAGCGCAGCGACGGAGTGGCCCGGCTTTCATGTCGAGGGGTGGGTGGGTGGGGTTGGAAAAGTTGCTTGTTTTGATTTCCCTCCTTTTTTTTTTTAAGTTTGCCTTTTTGGGGTTTGCCCTGTGCTAGGCGTTTCGGGGTTTGCCTTGGGCAAGCATGATGTCCTTTTTGGGAGTAGCTGGTCGTTTAAAAGTGCAGGCTACCTCTTTGGAGCTATGCCGAACTTGTGCCAAGTAAGGGAGCAACAGCACCACCTGCGCGGCCGGGGTTCGCAGCGTTTTCGTCGTGGCAAGGGGGGATGCTGGCCATTTTCACGCCTGAGGCAATCATGTTGAAGGTGAATATCGAACTGGCTTCGGACATGGACGTGCAGATTAAGGCGATGAAGGCGTGCACCGATTTTGGGGTTTGGAGAGGGGGAGGGCTGCAGGTGCTTTTGAACCAAGTGAACCAGCTATGTAAGTACATCTACGCACACGCCCACACACACACACACACGCCTACACACACACAGACAGACACAGACACACACACACAGACAGACAATGACACAAACATACTAAATACAGTTGTATCCATATTACTCCATAGTTATCTATCTATCCAGTTCTCCCTTCAACTTATCTCAAAAAGGGGGTTGTCACAGCAAAGTGTGTTGAAGCAACCAGCCTCTAGTTCCCTTTGAAGGACCTCTCAAAGGTTGTTGTTTGTTTACACAATGGTTGTTTTGCAGACTTGTGTTTAATCTTGGCCCAGCCTGTAAGCAAATTGTATCGTGCTCCGGTAAGCCGAGCTCATCCATGATCAAGATCCTTACAATTAGTTCCTTTTTTTAGTTTGGAATTATAGCAATTTGCGCAGAACCCTCAAGAAGAGACGCGCCTTCATATTTGCGAGCGAGGTGCCGCTCGGCGTGAGGCACCTGAGCCTGTCTGGGGAGCTGAACGCGGCCCGGCTGTGCATTGCGCTGGGTGGTTCAATCCACTTTGCGCTAGTTGGGATGGATGAAGCCGTTCAAGTCCCTTTCTCCAGCTCCTTGCGGCCGTGTTGCATCTAACAATGCCGCACACAGTGCACACAATACCAAGAATAACGCACAAATCACATGCAACCAACACACCGCAGACGTATTCGCACAAACGCATGCGCGCAAAGACAGGGAGGGGGCAAGGAATTTTGGGCCATGCACTTGGTGTTGTTTGGGCATCTTTTGTAGCAGGGGGTCTTGGCAGATCTCAATTTGCGGCTTGGTCAAGGAAAATCAATGCTTGTCTCGAAACATGTTTCCCTCGAGTTTTTTTGCTTCTTCCAAAACGCACAGCCAAAGGCACCCAACTTTCAGATGCGTCGGTGTACGTAGCAGGGGGTCACGATGCGTTCACCAGATGCATCGGTGTGCCCGCACAAGTTGCAGCGAAGTCGGGGAAGGCTCAGAACGTGTGATTTGTAGCTTATATTCGCTGCGCCTGCGCGTAAGTCGTAGCTTTGGCCACGTCGCATGTCATTCCGCGGCGCTGGGACGGTGTTTTAACATGACAAGCATCTGTGTCGCTGTGCCATGATAAACGGACAGACGTGGATAGGTAGGTAGACAAAGTAGATGTGCAGAGAGAATGCCTCGAGTAGGACAGACAAATCAACAGGTTGGATACATTCACAGATAGACATGCAGTGGCTTTGGGTGTCCTTCCCCCTCGCCCCTCACAGCTTAGGTGCGGTTCCACCCAGTTGCCACGGCTCCGCCCTTCTTCGCCGGGGTGGGGGCCTTCTTCATCGAGCCCCCGAAGCTGGACATGGACTTCACCGGGGCCGCGGACTTCGTGGACATGCGCCTGGGTCGGGTTTCTGGTCTAGGGGATGTGGGTTTCCTCGGCTTTTTTCGGGGGGCTGGGTGGGTTTGGCGGTTTTCGCGCGGGGTGGTTGAAACGCCCCACTGCTGGGCGCAGAGATTGAAACTCATTGTGGCGAGTTGGGCTCATGGTTGAAATGCAGAGTTGGTCATTTAAAGTTTTAGACTCCCAGACGCCTTTAAGAGTGCTCGTATTTGTCCTTTGCGGGCTACCTCAATTGAAAAGTGTTTTGGAACAAATGGCTGCAACTTTGATTGTGGCAGCCACGGGGTGATATGACAGGCAACGGATTTCTCAGGAGGAGAGCCTGAATGGGCTGCCAGGGATTCAGGCTCCCAGGGATGCGCAGACAGCTGGCGCAGGATTGGAGCAGACAAGATTGGCGCAGACACTCTGATAAGGTCAGTGGCTTGATATGGTAAAGCAATGACACGACGACAAAAGATAAATGCACAGGATTCAATTGTGGCTGGCAAAGGCAAGAAAGCGAAGGCCCCTCAGCTGATGTAGGTGCAGGTAATTCTTGAGTTATCTTTTGAAGGGGCTTTTTGTTGCACGTGGACGGAGGTGGCAAGGCCTCACCCAAGATGAAGGCCCAGCCAGTTGCTGAATCACTCCCTAATAGTTTAGCTTTGTTCGGGCCAAACCACTCATGCAACCACAGTTGGGCAACATGCAAGTTGAAGTGTAGGGGACGGCCTCAACCAGAAAATGACTGCCCACTTGACTCTTCGCATGAATTGCGTAGGCTCTGTGATTCTGACTAAGGAACCCGCACCTCTTGCGAATCCTCGAATGCGTGTTTCTCTTATTGCAACCTCCAAGTTTCCCTTCAAACCCATCCAAAAACAACACGAGGTCCCTATTTGGCCACCCTGAGAAGCAGTGGGCTTCCCTGCGTTTCCGTGCTCAAAAATCACTTCCCGTTGCCAATTTTTAAGTGAATTTCTCTTTTGAAGAACTACTGAAGGAATTTTTTTGCGGTGTCTCCTATGCCTCAGAACCTGTTGGGGTGCTTCTGAAGGAAGTCTTCAGGTACGGAACCCGTAGCCTCTTGGTTCCCGGAGTCCGGATCCGGATGCCCTACATTTCCCCTTGCACCCCGAAGGGAACTCACTTGAAACTGGAAACCACACGATCTTTGTTGTTGATTTTTTTAAACCAACCCAAAGGGGACATTGAGTTACAGGCCGCTGATCCGGGACGTGGTGCACTCTACGTCCCTCGCCTTGCGGAGGGAAAAAGGGGGGGGGGGGGGCTTGGGATTTTTGGGTGCTTGGAAGTGTCGGTGTCTCGGGTAAATGACGCCTTGGTTCATGAGTAGGGACTTTAGCACGGGGCCATTTAATATCATTAAAATCGTGCAAGGGTTCCTTAAAGCCTACATCCAAAGATCACCTGAGTTACAAGGATTTGGATCCTCCAACCCAGGTAGTTTGGGCAATTTTGTGCCTGGCCGCTGGTATCCAACCCCGGGGATATGGGCAATGGGTAACATGGGAAGGCGCCAAGAGGTTTGCCCGAACCATGCAAGAAGCCACCCCTTTGTGAGTATTCCTGGTTCTGACAGATGTGGTAAAGCTGTGCTGTACTGTGCGTGGTCCGTGGCTGGTTGACTTGTATCCCGGAGGTGGTTTGCCATGTCGATTGGGTTCCATCATTTTGAACAAACAGTGGGAGAACTGTTTGTGCACCAAAGAACCAAGCCACCAAAACACCAAAGCACCAAAGCACCAACGCACCAACACACCAAAGCACCGAGCCACAAAGCCAACCGGGTTCAAACCACCAACCCCGATCATGGCTGAAGCTTCTGCAAGCTAGTTGGGGTGTGCAATTGGGTCACCCAATTTTTTCCCGGCCGAGGATTATGGGCATTTTGAATGCTCAAGTAGTGCTGCCCGCGCGCATCGCTATCGACCTTAACCAGGACGATGATACTGACCAGGCCGTTGGTAATAGCGGGGAAATTGCAGGTCGCTTTCAACAGGGAAGCGGGTTTTCTTTTTCCGAACCACCCTTTCATCGCCTCTAGCTGTTCTTGGAGTGTTTTAGATGGATCCACTGAAGTGGATTTGGAGCCAGACAGAGCCACAAGAACCCACATGGATTCACATGGCTTTTTTGTTGCTTGATTGTCACTTTGGGCCTTAGCAGCGTGAGCCCAGCGAGAGCGCTTCGACGCGAGAATTGCGGAGTTCGTCGGCCACCGGGCAAGCTTGCGCGGCGCCACAGCGAGAGCACTTCTTCAGTTGCGATCCTCGCAGGGGGTTTGTCGGCCACGTAGAAAATTCATTCGCTGATCACGTAGAAATTGTACGATCCCCACAGAGATGCGCTCTGCAGCAAAGCTTTGCTGCTGACACGCTGTGCAGCAAAGGTATGTTGGGATGTCCTGTGAGACACGTGCCTGTTGAGGTGTGCAGCAGGGCTATGTTGAGATGTGTTGCGGAGCAAGGCTATGTTGAGATGCGCGGTGCATCAGAGCTAGCCCTTTTGAGATAGAACCCTTCGCCACACTGTCGGAAAAATGAGAACCTTCAAACTTTGCATGCAAGATGTCAATTTTGCCCCTAGGTGTAACAGGTTGATAGCCAAGTCCTGCAGCCTGAGGCAGGCGGGTTTCTGGGCAATAGCCACGGTTTCCCTTGGCGGGTAAACAGAAAATCAGGTTTACCCCGGGGGGGGTCCATACTTTCTGCCCGCTTAGAAACTAACTTGGAGTCAATCAGCCATTCTGGTGGGGATGATTTCCCGGTAAGGCACCAAAACAAACAAAACACGGCCCCAGCATGTGGCTATGAATTTTTGGGAGGGACTCATACCCATGTACCTCTCCGTGTGGAGGCGGACCTCAACTTCCCGGAGCCCCTGGGCGTGCTGCGGGTGCTGCTGCGCCGGGGGAAGGACCTGCGCGCGGCGGACGTGGGTTTCACTGGGGGCCGGTCCTCGGACCCCTACGTGGTGATGGAGGCGCGAAGCTGAGCTCGCCAAAAGGCCCGGGCTGTTTGTGTTCCACAAGCATGCACATATATTTGTATAGAGTAACTTGCAGGTGTGTGTGTGTGTGTGAAAGTATTAATCTACATATGTAAACATGCATATGTTCATATGTTGTGTGTCTCAGGGTACTCGTTTCTTTTTTTTGGTGATAGGTTAGTTTGAAGGGAAACCGAAAGCAAACCCACATATTTGGGAGGGTTCATGGTTTTGACAAACGGACACACACACCGCCGGGAGGATGTTTCAATATTCGGTTTTGTCATTAAATAAGGAACCCCCTAAAATGGGTGGTTTCCCTTTGGTTTCGCTTGGCTTGAAGAATGATAGAAAGGATGCCCACAAGGAAACACACAATTTGTTTAAGCTTGTTGAAAGTCCTGGCCACGTGCTGGAGAGCATGTCCCCTGATACACATGTGTTTACACGTACTCTTTGTAGGCATCACCTATGGGGTATTAGGGATTGAAGGCGTGGTGATAGGGGCCGCATTCTTGTTATTTTTTGCAACGGAGCGGCTGTAAACAGTTCCAGTCGGTTTTGGATGGGCTTGGCGTGGAGTGAGGCTCAAGGGTTTCCCTCGCGTTTTTTTAGCGGCCCAACGGGTTTTGGTGTCTCAAGGTACATGGGCCAGATTCAACGACTCAGTTTTGCTTGGCAACAGCCTCCTGTCGCTTCCTTCTGCTTTCTTTGGCCTCCTTTCATCCCAGGTCACCTTTCGATTCCCGGTCCCATTTCAGGTGGGCCAGGCGCGGTGGCAGTCCCCGGTGGTGGAGAAGAGCGCCGCGGATCGATGGGTTTTGCGTCGAGTTGCGGGGGGTTTTGTGTGTGGCGGTCGTTTTTTTTTTTGTTGGGAAGCGGATCCCCCAAGAATGCTGGTTTTTCGGATTGGCGTCGCTTTAAAGTCACAAAAGGATGGGTACCCTGAAAGAAGTTGCGCCAGTGTTTGGTCAAACACCGGTTTCCTAGTGTCTTGTTTACGAGCCACAGGATGCCAAAGGCTCAGAGCTCCCTTCCACGAATAACCATGGACCTACGTTTGGGGACTTTTGCGCATATTTTTGTAGGGATTCCTCACGGGCGGGATCCACAGCTGAAAGCGTGGGGTCTCTGCCGTGTTCAAATCGGGTGTGGACTAGGGTTTCGGGCTGGGGTTCCGAGAGTTTTTTTTTTTGGGGGGGAGGGCGGGGATGTACCAGAGTGTGGATGGACAAAATCCACGGCAGGTATCGGCTGGAAGTTGGAAGGTAAAACTCTATCTCGACTGGTGCAGGATCTTGTTAACCCACAGTTTGACGACAGTATGCTTGTTAAACATGTACCCTCATATGGTTCACATGGATGTAATATTTTTCTTCTTTTCTTTTGTGCGGGTACATTATCATTTCTATTACCTGCCTGTAGATTTACACACACACACACACATATATATATATACACATATGTATATGTATATATCTGTTTTTTTGTTTTTGGTGGGGGGAGGGGAAGGACATTGAAGGGAAACCACATGGATGCCCATACTTATGGGCCCCTTTCTGTGAAGGCACTCCTTTTGGGGCTTGGTTTCAGATGTGTTTGTTTTCTTCTGTGTTTGTAAGGGTACCCTGTGTTGTCAGAAGGGGAGAATCTCTTTGGTTTTTTCTCACAGGAAGTCAAGTGGGAGCCGACCAGTTTGGGCTTGATCCTTCAAAACAACCTCCCAGGGTGCGAAGACGGTGAGAAAAATCAGCAGAACCTCTGCCTGGAGGTGATGCACATTGGTCCTTGAGCGTAGTGGTTTAGGGGAAGCGGTTTAGGGGAAACGGTTTAGCGATAGTTGCCATCTTCTTAAAGTCTGGGCACACGCACAAACACACACACACTCACCTATATCTATATTTATGTACACATGTGTATACTAATGTAATGTACACATATGTATGCACACATGTTATGAATGATTCAGAGGGTTTCCTGTAGCCAATGGTTCTTGCTGGCAGAGAAGCGACGGGACTCTGCCCCAAAATGGGGGAGACCACAGCCTTCTGATGGACTCCGAGAATTGCATGATTGAAATTTCTGTTTGCATGCTCATGGAGAAACTCCGCGTTGGGATTGGTGGTTTATCCCATTCAACAGGGTTTTATGCAGATGAATACGCGCATGGTCGTATACACATCTATCTTTTTTGTTTGTTTTTAAAGATCATTTCTTGCATATGTTCGAACATTCCCACTTCACCAGGTCACTTACTCTGAGAGTAATTGACTGACAGTCGCCTTCGGGACACACAGGCCAAATGTTGAAGCATCTTGCCGGGCTATGCCCGATGCAAAAGGGTATGATCTTTATTTGGGGACACATAGTTGAAGTGGAGGTTCACGTCGACAACTCTTCAAATTCATAGCCGTGCCAACTTGAGATGTGGATGTTTCCTGATCCCCGCAGGTCTTGTACCGAAGGCAGCCAACTCCAATGCGCTGCAGCCATGTGGGGACCCAACAAATGGAAGTGTTTTCCTTTAACTTCCCCTTGAAGTGACTCCGGAAGTGCGTTGAACACAGCAAACTGTGATGTAGGGGTCCGCGGCAGGGGGGGAGCCGGTATCCGAGCTAGGCTCGTCAGGGGGTTTTAGCCTTTTGCAGCCATGACGTTGTGCACCGGTAGTTCTTTCTGTCCCCTACCAGTGCGACCTAGGATCTGAAAATAAAACACTACATAAACATGTTTCCATTTGCAGATGCATTGCAAATTAAACCTTGAAGTGCACATGTTCCAGGACTGGTGTTTCAAACTTTGGTCTGTGCATCTTGGGTTCAAGGCCTGAACCCGGTCTGGGAGCACCACAACGTCGCGGACTTCTTGGTGTATGAGCAGCGCCAGAAGCTGCACTTCCGGGTTTTCGACAAGGCCGGACCATGAAAATCCATGTAATCGCCGAAAGTGGCTCTAAGTTTCGCAATTTCTCCAACTGGGGTCTCGGCGCCTTTGTAGTGCAAGGGCATCTGGTATTCGGGAAGCACAAACTCTGAAACCCAATTTTGTGCGCAATGGTTCTTGGGAAGAGGGATGTTTCCTGCGGCCATCCTGTCAAACTGTTGTTTTGTACTGAATCTGAGTGAGTGCTGAACAGCAAGTGAAGTCTGTCCAAGGAGAATCCCTTCTCAACTGTCAGTGTTCCTTTCTTTTGAGTCGACAGTGAGGCTGGCTGCCAGCATCATGCCCGAACAACCCGGAGAATTGCGAGATGTTTTTGTACCGGTCACATTCGAGGAAACATTTAGGTACCTGGTACTCCCCAGAAATGCACCGCCCTCCGCAAGCCGCTTATTGGAGCCTCACTAGGGTCCTCGGACACTGGGCGGATTTTCTCTCAGAGGAGCAGTCGGGGTGGTAGCATAGGTTTTCCCTGACTCAGAATGCAGGCCCACATTGTGAAACATGATCGTCTCACCATGGGGCGGCATATTGGTGATCTGCACATGAAATTGCTGGCAGGTGAACACGTACCCCCTGGCAGGTGCATGTGCACTTGGTCATGCACATAAGGCGTGCATTCTGGGCCAATCTCAAAGCTTGAAACGTGTCCTCCACGCCGGACTGGGGTTCCTTGGAGCTTGTCTCTGGTATTGCGAGTGTTCTTCGGCAAAATTCCCTATCAAAGATAGTTGGCGCGTTTGGTTTGTGCTGGGTCCATCGAAGCGACATCCTCAATCTTGCCCTTTTACATGTGGTTGTTTCACGTTGCCCGACTTCTACAAGCAAAACTTGGGGCCCCCAGGACCAGTATAGCGCGGACGACCTCATCGGGGCGGCTCACAGCGTTCTGCCGCCTTTCATGGAGGCGATGTCGCCGAAGGACTTCGAGATACCGCTGGACTACCAAGGCTTCGGCCCGATTTCCGGACATGGCCGGAGAGGGGGGACGGGGGAGGGGCCAGGAGGGGGAGGATCTCCCAGGTTTTGGTACACGGGAAACAAGGGATGGGAGGAATGATCTCTTCTGTTGCAGGGAACGGCTCATGTTTGACGGGACCAGCCAGCCGGACTTGTCCTTTCAGGGCTTGGCAAAATGAAGCTTCTGGGAAGTTGCAGGCTGGGTAATTAGCGTTGTGCACGAAGGTATCCCCCCGCAGACCCATGGCACAGAACTGACCAGAAGGTCCTTTCCAGAGGATTGTCTTCCGGGGACTTCCAGTCAGGTTCCACATGAGTGGGAGGGCAAATTTCAAACAGGAGGCCACTATTTCCCAGTCTTGGTTCGCAACAGGCCAACCAGTTTCAGCTGCTTGACCAAAAACCTTTTGACCGAAAAAAGGTGAAGAAACGCGTTGCGCTGTGGGAGGATCGGGGGCTGGACTAAACGTGGCGGCAACATGCTTGGACAATCGTCCCCTGGTCTCTTTTTTGGTTTCGCCAAAGTGTGAGCTAGTTTCATGAGAGGCATCACCACCTCTGGACAGGGCTGCGTCCAAAGGACGTTCCCTCAATGTGCGTTGCTTTTTTGACCCTTGCATTTTTGTATTCTACAGGCAGGGTTCGCCTTGAACAGTGTCGCCAGCTTCTCTGCGTGCTATGTTCCCCGCCTCACATCCGCTTAGGCCCGCATCTTCTGGGTTGCGCTGCCCTATCCCACCCAGGAAAGACGTCACGGAAGTGTCACGGAAGCCCGCCAATAAACAGCACAAGGTGGGAAACCCGCAGACATACACACACACACACACACACACACACACTCACATACACATAGACAGCCAAGTCAAAGCTATATCCACACACATATATCCACACACACATATATATATACGCTTGCACTGTGCGTATGTTATCATAGTTGTATTTCTAATAATGTATACATGATTGCCTAAAATGTGATTTTGTGTGTGTGTGTGTGTGTGTTCCTGGCTTGGCGCTGGCAGAGAACAGCGCACCCTTTGCCCATTCTGAAACGATAGGCGAAGGGGCCGGCAGTCTGGGCGTCTCCGCGCGGTGGCTGGGGGTGGCCTCCAGACCGCCGAAGGCACAAGCGGCTCGCGGCTCGTGGCTGGCTGACCACCACCACCACCACCACCACCACCACCACCACCACCACCACCACCACCACCACCACCACCACCACCACCACCACATGCAACCACAACAGCCCACCAACCACAACAGCCAACCACCACAACAAACACCATAACCACAACCAGAAGCAAAAGCCACAACCACCACCACCGCATGCAACCGCAACAGCCAACCAACCACAACAGCCAACCACCACAACAAACACCATACCACAACCAGAAGCAAAAGCCACAACCACCACCACCGCATGCAACCGCAACAGCCAACCAACCACAACAGCCAACCACCACAACAAACACCATAACCACAACCAGAAGCAAAAGCCACAACCACCACCACCGCATGCAACCGCAACAGCCAACCAACCACAACAGCCAACCACCACAACAAACACCATAACCACAACCAGAAGCAAAAGCCACAACCACCACCACCGCATGCAACCGCAACAGCCAACCAACCACCACAGCCAACCACCACAACAAACACCATCACCACAACCAGAAGCAAAAGCCACAACCACCACCACCGCATGCAACCGCAACAGCCAACCAACCACAACAGCCAACCACCACAACAAACACCATATGCAACCGCAACAGCCAACCAACCACAACAGCCAACCACCACAACAAACACCATAACCACAACCAGAAGCAAAAGCCACAACCACCACCACCGCATGCAACCGCAACAGCCAACCAACCACAACAGCCAACCACCACAACAAACACCATAACCACAACCAGAAGCAAAAGCCACAACCACCACCACCGCATGCAACCACCATAACCACAACCAGAAGCAAAAGCCACAACCACCACCACCGCATGCAACCGCAACAGCCAACCAACCACAACAGCCAACCACCACAACAAACACCATAGCCACAACCAGAAGCAAAAGCCACAACCACCACCACCGCATGCAACCGCAACAGCCAACCAACCACAACAGCAACCACCACAACAAACACCACAACCACAACCAGAAGCAAAAGCCACAACCCACCACCGCATGCAACCGCAACAGCCAACCAACCACAACAGCCAACCACCACAACAAACACCATAGCCACAACCAGAAGCAAAAGCCACAACCACCACCACCGCATGCAACCGCAACAGCCAACCAACCACAACAGCCAACCACCACAACAAACACCATAACCACAACCAGAAGCAAAAGCCACAACCACCACCACCGCATGCAACCGCAACAGCAACAACCACAACAGCCAACCACCACAACAAACACCATAACCACAACCAGAAGCAAAGCCACAACCACCACCACCGCATGCAACCGCAACAGCCAACCAACCACAACAGCCAACCACCACAACAAACACCATAACCACAACCAGAAGCAAAAGCCACGACCACCACCACCGCATGCAACCGCAACAGCCAACCAACCACAACAGCCAACCACCACAACAAACACCATAACCACAACCAGAAGCAAAAGCCACAACCACCACCACCGCATGCAACCGCAACAGCCAACCAACCACAACAGCCAACCACCACAACAAACACCATAACCACACCACCACAACCCACCACAACCATACACCACCCAACCAGAAGCAAAAGCCACAACCACCACCACCGCATGCAACCGCAACAGCCAACAGCCAACCACCCACAAACAAACACCATAACCACAACCAGAAGCAAAAGCAACAACCACCACCACCGCATGCAACCGCAACAGCAAACCAACCACAACAGCCAACCACCACAACAAACACCATAGCCACAACCAGAAGCAAAAGCCACAACCACCACCACCGCATGCAACCGCAACAGCCAACCAACCACAACAGCCAACCACCACAAAACACCACCACACCATAACACATAACCACCAACCGCCAGAACCGCAACCAAGCCAGAAGCAGCCACCACCACCACCGCATGCAACCGCAACAGCCAACCAACCACAACAGCCAACCACCACAACAAACACCATAACCACAACCAGAAGCAAAAGCCACAACCACCACCACCGCATGCAACCGCAACAGCCAACCAACCACAACAGCCAACCACCACAACAAACACCATAACCACAACCAGAAGCAAAAAAGCCACCGCATGCAACCGCAACAGCCAACCAACCACAACAGCCAACCACCACAACAAACACCATAACCACAACCAGAAGCAAAAGCCACAACCACCACCACCGCATGCAACCGCAACAGCCAACCAACCACAACAGCCAACCACCACAACAAACACCATAACCACAACCAGCAGCAAAAGCCACAACCACCACCACCGCATGCAACCACAACAGCCAACCACCACAATCACCACAACCGCAACCATCACCATAACCAGAACCAAAACCAAACACCACCACCACCACCACCACCACCACCGCATGCAACCGCAACAGCCAACCAACCACAACAGCCAACCACCACAACCACCACAACCACCACAACCACCACAACCACAACAAACACCATAACCACAACCAAAACCAAAAACCACGACCACCACCACCGCATGCAACCACAACAGCCAACCACCACAACCACCACAACCACAACAAACACCATAACCACAACCAAAACCAAAAGCCACAACCACCACCACCGCATGCAACCGCAACAGCCAACCAACCACAACAGCCAACCACCACAACAAACACCATAACCACAACCAGAAGCAAAAAGCCACAACCACCACCACCGCATGCAACCACAACAGCCAACCACCACAATCACCACAACCACAACAAACACACCATAACCACAACCAAAACCAAAAACCACAACCACCACCACCACCGCATGCAACCACAACAGCCAACCACCACAACCACCGCAACCACAACAAACACCACAACCAGAACCAAAACCAAAAAGCGCCACCACCACCACCACCACCACCACCGCATGCAACCACAACAGCCAACCACCACAACAACCACAACCACAATAATCACCACAACCACAACCAAAACCAACAACCACAACCACAAGCACCCGCATCCTCCCCTTTGACTGTAGATGGCCAGGCCATCTCATCGGCGGTGGCACGAGGGCCCTCGCAGTTGGTTCTGGCAGTGAAGCTGCTAGGCACCGTGGAAAATGGTTGGGGTGGGGGGGTGGGTTGTGGCCGGTTTGCATTCCAGTCCCGGATTGTTTGATTGCGTTTGATTCGAACAATTAACCATTGCAACCTGCAGCGCCAGAGTTTCATTTGTTTTTTCAGGCCTGCTCCTGTATTTACACCCACTTTGACACACAGGCACATCAAAAGGTTTTCGCCTGGAGGCGTGACCGACCTGCCGAAGTCCCACAAGCCGCCCTTCACCGTGCGGGTGGAGGTCCCCAACTGCGGGGTGCAGATGATCAGCCGAAAGAGCACCCCACCCAGCAACATCAAGCCCGCGCCTAGCCGAAAACCCTACTTTAGGCTTTGTTGGTGTGCCACTCATCCCGAAAACTGGCCGCGAAGACGCCTTGCTTGGGGCTTGCATCTTCGGGGGACGCGGGGGCGGGGGGGGGGGGGTGGTGGCGGCAAGCTTGTGCTTTTTCACATTAGAATGTCAAAACAGGGGGCACGGTTGGAAGCAGGGTGTTCAGCACATCATCGTTTGGCAGCATGTTCTACAACAAGTTTGCGTGGGAATCGCTATCGGAGCCCTGCGTGCAATGCTCCGACAAAATCCTGCACCAGTGAGGACGCATGACACCCTATGAATACTGGGATGACCACCTCGCAACTGGCGCAGGATTTTGTCCATCCACAGTATTGGAAGCTTCTTGGCTTTGGAATCCTCACGGGAGAGCGGGGTGGCAGGCTCCGACAGCTGAACGTACCCTGAAAATAAACCCCGTCTAAAATCTACATAGTTTGATTGCCAAAGCTGCAAGGGAACTCATTGACGAGGAGACTCCTTTGTTTGGTGTCGTCGGACCGCCTTTCTGAGAATGGACTTTCTCCCCTTGACTCCCGAGAATTGGCACGAGAAAACTTGATTTTTGGATCAATTGCTTCTGATTTCCCAACAAGGGGGGGTTGTTTGTGGCTGTCCTTTGAACTACCCTCCAAAAAAGGAAGCTACACTCCAAAAAAGGACTCTACCCTCCAAAAAAGGCTAGGTGTTATCTTCAACAACCATGGACAAAACTTCAAAACTGCGGATTTTCGGCCAACAAAACCGGTTCGTGGCTTGAACAGTCCGTCCCAAAGACCGTGCCCCGTCGGGTCCTCCGGGTCCTCAGGTGGCGCAGGAGGTGGCGGACATCGCCCGGCGCCTGAGTCGGTCCAAGCACTCCACAGAGCAGATCTGCGAGATCACCGGGCTGGCGCCTTGGTTTCGGGTGGCGGTTGGTTTCCACAACTCCAAGTGGAAAGTCAATCTGGCAACCAAAAGGTGACCTGTAACTCAGAACCAAAAAGCAAGGGTCCCGAAAAATATCGGGGGGGACCCTTGGGTACGTCCAGGGCCCGCTTCGGCTCGCTCCGCTTCCTTCACCTCACGGCTTCGCACGCGCGAATTCGGCAGGAGCCCCACGCGGTGAAGCTGGCGGTGGCCCATAGCTCCCCCGACTTCGCGGAGGCGCGCCGGGAGTCCATGGCCGAGATGAGCATCACACACCCCGAGCGCCGCGCCTGCAATCTGATTTTGGAGTTTGGGAAGATCCCTCTGCCAGGTTTCAAAGAAACATAGAGAGGGTTGGGTTTAGTAAGAAGAAGATTTACGGTCGGGTCAGCCGGGGGCGTACGGGGGGTTGGGCCCAGAGAAACCAAAAGGGAAGCTCAACACCTTCAAACAGGCCAGATGGGTGCGTGTCTAAATGGGGAACGTGGTTTTTCCTTTCCATTCCAAAAAGACACCCAACGTGTGCCACGGTCAAAAGACGTTCGTACTTGGGGGTAGTAGGGACGGTTGTGGACCAATCCGGATCTAATCGCTATCAGGCCACTGGCTGAAAGTGGACGGCACGGCAAAAACCTTCCATTTCAGAGATCGGCCCCTTTGCTTCCCCAAAAATTATCCCTTCTGCTTCCCGAGTTCGTGCGAGGTTCAACCAAGTGCTCCACCTGCCTCTGCCCTGGACCGAGACGGTCGCCAAGGCCACAGTGTCCTTGAAGCTGCCAAGATCGCAAGTGTTTACTCGATTCGACGTGGGCCGGGTCAGGGTCGCCGTTTTTTTTTCTTTTTCTCCTTCTCTCCGTCAGGTTCCAGCTGCAACCGGGGGATCCTCCAAATCAGCCGGTGTGTCTCCAAATTGGGGACCCCGCTGGATGGCAAAAGTGGGGCCAAGCAAAGCTTGAATGTAGAGAGAGAGGGAGAGAGAGAGAGATTCGTGTATATATATATATACATACATATTTTATACACCTATGTGTGCGAGTGTCTCTCTCTCTCTCTCTCCTGGCGCTCGTCTGGCGCCCGCCTTGTGTGGGGAAGCTCTTGGGTTCGAACCCCGGGCAAAAGGTTAATAAATGCCTCTCATAGCCTCATCTCATCTTGAGATACGCGCTATCTCCTGTTAAAATTGTTTGAAACATCGCCATTCAGGCTAGTCTCAGATGAGGCTTGTCTTAACCAAATGATGTGCGCAAAGGGAAGCATTGGGACCTTGTCACCCGACTTTTTTGCGTTTTCTGTTGTATGTCACTTTCCCAATTTATCGGCTCAGCCATGAATCAGGGTCTCAATAGCAGATGTCGGTTGCACGCAGCGCGGAAAGAGAAGAGAAGGAAGCAACGACACCAAACAAGCGGCACGTGCACCCGCACCCGCACGCATACGCCCACGCGCACAGGCACAGGCACAGGCACACTCACGCACACCAAACAAAGACGTATAGCAGCAAACTTGCAACAGGGCCACCCAACTTCGGCACAGCGTCAGATGACTAAGTTTACAAAGGGGGGGTTGTGCTATCTGCTTTCACTCAGCTGTGCACGGGCTGTCGGTGTCTCAGGCTGATTGATCGGACGGAGAAGCCCATCGGGAAGCCACTCGTGCTGCGGTTGGCGGACGCGGCGGAACGGCCCCTGGAAGGCGACGAAGGGTAGGGGGCGAGGGGGCGGTCCATTTTGGGTGCCCCCCAAAGAATCACATTTGATCCTTTCGGGCAAGGAACCCTGTCAAAGGAGCTCATGATGGAGGCCCTTTACTTGGGGATTTCCATTGTTTCCATTTTTTGGTTTTTGCTTTCGTGACCATAATTTGGCCACATGGCTGGCCTAGGCAGGTACCCCTTTTTTGTTGGCAGAAGCTGCCCATCGGGAAGGTTCAACTCAAACTAAAATGACCCCGTTTACCCCCAATCGGGCATCAAGGCCCTATGAAATGTGTTTGGTCCGAAACGGAGAGCTTTCCGGGCTTTCGGGGGGAGGGGGGGAATCCAGGTGTCATGGCCTCCCAAAGGAGCCCCTCCACCCATCTCCGAGCTTGACTCGTTTGGCGGGAGGCGGCTACGACCTATCGTCGGGCGGCACGCTGAACGCGAAGCTCAGCACACTGTGGCTCAAGGTGCCCTCGGCGTCCTGAACGCCTCTCGCCTCTTGGGCGCCGAAGGCCTCGCCTATGGCTTTCAAAGGATGGGTATTCGTCCCCAGCTCTCTCCTTCGAAGGTGGGTTTCAGTTTAGACGTCGCCTCGAAGGCCCTTTCAAAGGTCGTGTGATGTCTCAAGAGGAGCAGAAATCCCGTTGAAAAGCTTCAAGGCGTGGGCTTTGGCGAGACTTGTTTAGGTCGTGTGGCAAGAAGACTCGTACGGCCTTGACGCCATGACGTCTGCCTCTGGATCAGAGCGGCTTTTGAACCGACTGCTTACAGCTCAGCTGGTGGTCCGCGGCTTCCGGCGACGCAGGGAGACGTCATACTTCACATGTACGTCGAACCCCAGGGAACCCGAATGAGACCTCCTAAACGACGACCGCACTTCCCCACTTGTTCGGACGGTCCTTCTTGTGGTAGACGAGTCCAGCGACGTTTTCTGGCCAACGCACTAGAAATCGAAAAGGGCATTTCGGATCCCGTGTGTGCACGCGCGAGATCTGTCAGCGATCTCTCCACAGAGACCCGGTGCGCCAGCGGAAAATGAGAGCTTTTAGCTCTCCCATTTGTAAAAAAGAGGGGCATCTATGAACCTGCAGCCTTTGCGGGAAAAGAGAGACGTGTAGCTAGTGCAACGCGATACAGGTCCTGCACTTGCAAGTCCCTTATTTGGCTTGTGGGATTCTTGCAGAATTCGCACTCGGAATCAACACCAGAGTGGCAAGCTAGGGTCATTTTTCTTGTTTGGGGGGATTTGTTACGTGACGTCACGGGGATGGCAAATTCATTTTGGTGACCCAGCTGAGGCCTGGATGCCTTGGCCCCAGCCGGGAATGGGGGGGTGGTTGGCTTTGTCTGAATCCCAAAGCTCAGTTGGCTTGGGCAAGGCAAACCTGGCTGCTTGCCTTGGAAAAGCACGCAGGAGAGGGGGAGAGAGAGAGAGAGAGAGAGAGAGAGAGAGAGAGAGAGAGAGAGAGAGAGAGAGAGAGAGAGAGAGAGAGAGAGAGAGAGAGAGAGAGAGAGAGAGAGAAGAGAGAGAGAGAGAGAGAGAGAGAGAGAGAGAGAGAGAGAGAGAGAGAGAGAGAGAGAGAGAGAGAGAGAGAGAGAGAGAGAGAGAGAGAGAGAGAGGAGAGAAGGGGGGGGCCTTGTATTTTGGCTGACAGCCTGTGGTCAGGATCCAGGAGCTAGAAACCAGAAATTGGCAACTTGCGAAATTCATATAGACTCGTTTGGAAGGGAACCAAAAGAAAGGCACCGATTAGAGATGCCCCCTCCCCCGAAAGAATAATAAATCTACCAACAACACGGCCATTTCTTGTCCCTTGGGTTCATGAAACCTTCCCAGCGAAACTCTTCCTTGAAGTTCTTCGGTCTAAACCTCGTGCTGGATTTGCGGCCCTGGCCGGACCTTCAGCCGGACCAGTGGAAACGAGGGCCTGGCAATCCAAATTCCAGGTCAGTTTCAGGTCTTGTTCCTCGAGATGCTTCAGGGAGTTCGTAAGCAGTTCACCTCCGGTTTGCTCTTCAAGCCTTGTAAGTCGGGTTGCTATGAAAAGTTGCCATTCATTTAGCCATCGCCCCAAAACGAGCCAAGTATGGAGAGGTGTTCGGAGCGGTTGGGCAGGAGAGTTCTGGGGCAGGTTTGGAGGGTTGCAGGAAGCTGTTGGGTTGGCATGGAGCGGTTGGGTTGCAAGTGGCTCCATCCGGAGCTGCTTCAGGCCATCCAGCCTGACATGGAACAGAGGCACCATCTGCACGAACGGTAAAACAACCGGCTCACCGGTTTTTCACCTATGACGCTGTTAGAATTGGGACAGATTGCACACGGCCCAAACAAACAAGCCTTGAGGCATAAACATGGCCATGGGTCATAACCTAGGCCTCCATTTTGGGGCGGATGAACACCCATGTGCCAGCTATCATTTATGGTCACCAGGGGTACCGTTGGATTTTGTCAACCACAGCCACATGGCGGTCAAAACCTGCTGGTACCATTGTGGTTGGTAGGTGAATTCACCACCCATTTTAGAACCTATTTTGGTGGTTGGATTGAATCGGATGTTCACTGGTACGATTTGGATTTTGACAACCACAGCCACATGGGTGTGGCTCAAAATTAAACAGGAGGGGTTACGCAGGCTGGGGTCCATGTTTCCACTTACCAGGGTTGACTTTGGTACCGGTTGTTTGACCCACAGCCACATGGGAAGGCGTCCTCTTTCGACAGCTCCAGCTCGAGCGCCTCAGGCAGCCATCGCCTCCTGCGAGGCGGCGCTGGCGAAGCTCCGCGGGCCTTCCGCCGCTGCCCCGTGGGATGTGGGACGGTCGACCTGGGACGCGGGGCAGGGCCGGCGGTGTGGAGGAGTGAACCCGTAGGCCCACAATAAGCCGCCTGCCGCCTGGTGCAGGATTTGGTTCATCCACAGGTCCGGTTCTTTTCTTTGTGGGTGGGGGGGCCCTCTGATGCGGTGGTGTGGTAGATTCTGGCAAGTTTCGCATGTAGGGGGCAAGGAACATCCTGTAATCTTTGCATGGTTCGTGGTGGATTCATCTCCAAACCTGGCAAGGTTGATCTGCCCTTTGTTTCGACCAAACCCGCTGCTCCATTGCTGGGTTCATAAAGCTGGCAGATTGTGGAGCACACGGTGGGTTCTTCAATTTCCTAATTTTCTCGTAAGTTGTATCGTAATTTGGCTTAAATTTCCTTAGCTTCACACTTAACTTGGCTCAGGTTTCTTGCTTCCCAAACATTGGTCTAGTCTAAACTATCCCTTATCTTCTTTTTGCCATTGAACGGCGGTTTTCGCCTTCAGCCTGCCCATATTTGGACGGTACCTTTTGCCCAGAGGTGCCTGGCATGCAAACCCTTGCTGGCCCGCAGGCCAGCATCCCCGACTCGCCTTTTGCCCCAGGCCTGACCATTCAGACGCGGGCAAAAGCCGGTGCTTGCGTACAGCAGGTCTGCGTGGAAAGCGGGGAGTGGTAAAATGTAAGATCCATTCACTAAGCTTCATAGTCAATGGCTGAGGTGTGGAAACGACCTCTAAACATGATGAGGGATCCCCAGGCCAGGTGTAGAGGGTTCAGCATCCTCCTCTCACCTGAGAACTGGCTCTTGACGCCGTGGCACTTCTCGAGGCTCTTAAGAGGGCCTGGGGTTTTCAGAATTTCTTTGGGGTTCTTGCATGTACGTCACAGTCATGGGGGTCGTGTGTTAGGTCAATTTGATTGAAAATAGATGCCACTGGCTTCAGCTTGCTTCCAAACTTTAAAAGAGGACACCTATGCTGCCCCTTCCCACCCTGAGCCCATGTTTTCGAGTAGTGGGGTGCTGAAACCCGGGTTGAAATTCAGATTGCTTGAATTATGTTTTCCCACCAGCACCTCACCAGCTGGGAACCCAGAAGGCACACCTTTGGTGGAAAGTTCATCAAGGTGTTTCTTCCTCAAGGCAGTTTCATACAATGAAATATGGCATCTTTTTCGCGTGTGTGCTACGTACTCTAAGCTGGCCCTGTGTTCCATAATTATCCTGAATCATCTTATCAAATATTTCCGCAGTTTGATGTCATCACGCTTACCAACCTTTTTCCCCCGAACGCAACCACAGGTTTACCCTCCGAACCTGGAATCTGAGGGAATGGTTGATCGAATTCCATTCCAAGGTACTTTTTGTTCGCTGGGCTGCTTCAAGGAAAGGCCAGGGTGGATAATTCGGTTGGTGTCCTTCGGTTGTAATGGTTGCTCCCGTTACAAGTTGGTAGGGTAGAATGTACCTTTGTAATAGCAGTAGACAAGTAGTACATAAGTTGTATACAGAAAGTAGTGCATAAATACATAAGTTTTGGTTTTTGTCTTTTTTAGTAGTGTACGAGTAGTGTAATGTTGTGTGTAAGTAGTATTTGAGCTCTGTACCTCTTGATTTGCCCACTCGTAAATGAGCACGCTGTTTGCCATGCTGCCGACCCAACTGTGGATAGACATCTGGGGTCTTGGCGTTGCTGGGCTCTACTGCGTGGATTGTTGGTGTGTGGCTCAAGCAGCTTACTGGGGATGCTTGCGCATGCAAAGGGGAAGGTAAAGAAGTTCCAGCGCTCAATCTGACAATCAGGCTTGCAGTGGACCTGGACACAAACCAAAACATTCGATTCCGAGGTTTCCGCGTGACACCGCACATGTTTTGATTCTCACGAACTTGTCTTGAACTTGAGTGACTCCGGTTGCAAAGCTGATCTCCCGAGTCTCCTTAGGCTCACACCTGGCATTCGTGTTTGATTGGTCAATGCCCTAACTGTGCATTTTGGGGCAGGTGAGCTTCCAAGCAGTCGTTGGACCCATGCGGCTTTGTCGGTTTACTCAACAGAGCATATAGCAGATTCAACGCCCCAGCTTTAGGGCAAGACAAAAATGACAACCATCCAGGCCCAGCATGTCGCACACACAAAGCATCCTGGCATGGTAAACTCTTAGGTAACAAAACATTTGTGCATGTCTTCGGATACGTCGTTCCTTGGCGGCCCTGAAAGCGGGCGCTGGTTGCGACGTTCCATGGCTTCGGCTCTTGGCCATGGGCTTCTTGGCCGGGTTGGTGCCGGCGCTTCTGGCGGCGCTGGCGTTCGGGGTGCAGTACGTGCCGGTGAAGAAGTACAAGTGCTCCGGCTGAGGGACAGGTAGAAATAGCTCCTTCTGTCCAATGGAAGGAGGAAAGTTGTGTTGCAGCTGTCAGGTAGACTTTCAGGGCGCCCAGTTTCAACATGAGACTTTGAAGCGCACTTCGGTTTGGAAGGATCAATCATCGCAGTTGCCACCGGCAATTAAGGATTTCACTGCAGTTGGTTGGAAATGTTATACCCCCGAGGGTTCGTGGGGGGCACTGCCCCCGCAGAGTTTGGGGGAGTTGGGGGGGCTCATGAGCAGAAGGAGAAGGAAGGAAAGGACAAGCAGGAGAAACGGGCATGAGAAGGAGAATTAGAAGAAGAAGAAGAAGAAGAAGCAGAAGAAGAAGAAGAAGAAGAAGAGGAAGAAGAAGTGAAGCGCCCAAACGCATACTTAGCCACTTCAATAGGCAGAGCATGCCTTTACCTTGGCCACGGACCTTCCTCTGAAAGTGCCCCGCCTTTTCTCAGCAGGGGTTTCATTGGAACGCAGACAAACAATCACCTGGCTGATAAACAGGGGATGTCCCGTTGTCAAATTGTGAAGGGTGGCCGCCACTTTGAAGGACGCCCAGTACCATCCGCAAGGGTGATGAATCCATTCGCAGCCCCTGGGTTTTGGATGCACATGGACCGTTGAGGGCAGATCCCCCGATGCGTTGCCAGGATATATGATGGGACCACCTTTCAGCTCCTTGGCTGGAAGGGCTCGCGTCACAGGTTGGTTGTGAGCTTGGAGGCTTTTGATTCCTTTTTTTTTTTTCCTCCTTCTCCTGCTGAGAGCTTCACCTTTTGAATAGGCCGCTGGAAAGGTGACATTGACAGGGGGGAACTGGGCAGAAGTCTCCCTTTGAACCCGTTTTCAATCTGTTGGCATGCAGCTCGGAGATCAGAAGCCTGGAGCTTCAACGGGAACCCAGGAAAAAAGGAAGCGGTTGAGAAACAGAGGGTGTCATATTTAAGGAAGAACATATCACACAGTTCTTGGACTCCAGTCGAAGTGGCATCTCATTAGGTGTTCCTGACAGACCATGTGCCATCGTAAACCGCGTTTGGTGGCCCCTGTCTGTGAGCGACCAAGAGGAGGATTTTGAAAGCTCGGCCCAACGCGCCGGACAACGTCGCAGCAGTCCACAGGCTTGCCACAGCACACGCGGCAGCAGCGTCAGCACTAGGCCGTGCATGCCTGCTGGCAGCGAACCTTTCATTGGGGATGGGATGGGATGGGATAAGGTTCCCTCGCTCGAGCAGGAGCCACCTTGCGATCCAATACAACAACAAGGAACCAAGGTCCCTACGGGGTTTCCTCCCTCATGTGGATGTTGATTGCTGTTCCCGTGGCGTTTTTCTCCATGCCCTACCTAACTCCTCCTTTGGTTGGCTTCATTTGGCGGTGGTGTACCGCCCATTTTAGTCTATTTTAGCGGTTGGATTGTGTAGTTTGCAACGTGATGTATTTATCAACCATGTAAAACCCCAATGCATGAGTGTCTCACTAGCGCAGTCTCGCCGTTACGACTGCGCTTGGCTCAAGTAAAAAGCGCGCTGTAGGCAGGGTTCATTGTTGACCCTTCCTGGTTGTTTAACCCGTTCTATAGGCTATCAGCCGTAAGCGGCTCTTTGTACAGAGATGTACGCACTGGATGGCAATCCTGGACTACCTCCTACCGAGGCGCGTCCCATACCTGATGAGCAGCGATGATGACGCCTCGCAGTACGAACCAACTAGTCGCGCGAATTCCCAAGTGGCCAGGGACCTCATCAGGAAGGGACAAGCTTTGAGCAGTCAGGGCCCCGAATCGCTTGGATCCCGGAGCGACCGTGGGAGGACTGGGCGGTCTGGTGCTCAATCTCCTTCACCTGTTGGATCAGATCGGCATCGGCATGGTGACATCGTCATGTATGACCCCCAGGCCGACCTCGCAAGGGGAAACCCTATGCCACAGTCCATGACACAGTTTAATCAACATGTTGCAAATGTTCACCTCGATCCCTCGATGACGGTCAACCAGGAGGTGACGAACTATCAGCAAATCAGCGCTACTCAGAACAATGCCCAGTTCAACCAGTTTGTGAATCAGGACACTGGTCCCATGGTCGCCCAATTGGCGGAGGCAAGACATGGCGAGATCACTGCCGGACTTCAAAGCCAATCGGAGGCCATGAGGCGTGAGATTCAAAAGAATGCGGAGCAGCGTGCAAACACCATGAAATTGGAAAGAGAGGCCGAGATGAAGTATAACGGCGCTATGAATACGATCAGCGAGCAAGAGAAGCAGATCAGGGAGCTGAGGGCCATGGTCGAACAGATGATGCAGAATCAACAGCAACAGCCTGCCCAACCTGCTCCGGCTCCTGCACCTCCTGCGACCCCCTTGGCCGTACCTACAATTCCTTTGGCCGCATCTCCACCCGGACTTTCGAATGCTTCCTCACACAGTTGGACGAAGGTCGGGAGCGACCCCTACGGCAAAGACGGATCCCGCCGGGGTCGTGGGCGATGCTGCTACCAGAGACGGTTGGCCTGGTGATGATGGAGTTGGTGGAGATGACAAGGACAAGAAAAAGAAAAAGAAGAAGAAGAAGAAGGACCGAAGCCGACGCAGGCGACGAGATCCATCATCCTCTCCCTCGTCATCCTCATCATCAACTTCAACGTCGTCAGATGAGTCGTTTCGACGAAAGCTACTGAAGCACTTAGGGAATTCAAGCGATACAACAACGGAACGCGTTCGTGTAAAGGAGGGTGACAGAATTCAGATTCCCCGTTTCCCGAAGCCCGAACAGTACCGTAATTGGAGGATCAAAGTTAGGGATGCTGTTGTTGCTACTTCTGATCAACCCGAGAAGGCATATGAGTGGATTGAGGCAACTTGGATCCCAGGTCAAACTGTTGAAGTCCTTCGTGATTCAGGCATGTTTGTTCATCTTGACGCAAAGCTGGCATCGGCGCTGACGAACATCTTGGAGGGCGACCTCGCGCGGCAAATCGACATTTTCAAGGAGCAAGAAGCAAAAGGGAAACGATACGCGAGGGGCCGCCAGATTCTTTTGATGATTCACAAGCACTTCAGCACGAACATCAAACATGGTGCAATCTACGACTTCGAGGATTTGCTTTCTGTCCAGCTCATCAACGAGGACCTCAAGAATTTCATGACGAGATGGGACACGGTCATCGCTGGAATGGGCAATGAGCAGAATGAGAAGACCCTCGAGGCGCTGTTCCACCGCCAGATTCGCAAGTTTCGTCCCCTCAGCCACGATCTCAATGAATACGAGCGGGCTGAGGAAGGGACGGAGAAGCACTCCTATAAATTCTTGATTGATGCATCAAGGAATTATTTGGAGCGGAAGCGGCTTGTTCACATGCGGAATGGTATGTCGAGCAACACGACGGGACGTGGTCGGACTCCATCGAACAATCCTGCTGTTCCTGGAATCCCTAAGGGTGTATAACTGGCCAATGCACCTATGGTTCAGACTGCCGAAAGGTAAGGGGAAAGGCAAGAAGGGCGGATCAAGGTCTCAGACCCCAGGGAAGTATCGTTCGCAGAGTCCTCCTGGTTCAAAGCCCCAGGTGTGCAAGTTCTTCAAAGCGAACAGATGCGAGAGAGGAAAGGACTGCCCATGGCAGCACCCCGCAACTTCCAAGGCAGCTCCAGCCCCGAAAGCCCATAAAACCACTAGTGGAGACACACCCAAGACATCGCCGAGAGAGAAGAAAAAGAAGAAGAAGCTTCTTCCCAGGATTCGAAAGATTCGAAGGGTTCTCAGTCCCTCAAGTCTCCGCGATCGTCAAAAGGCAGCAATGCGGCGGTGTGCCTCCTTCAGGCGATGGTGTGCGCCGCGACCCTCGACACGGTCGCCTCGTATCCTTGCCTGCCTAGTGTGAATTATGATGTTTTCCAGGGTATGCCATGTATCAAGAAATGTGTGCAATTCTCGGATTACCCATCTTTCACGAACTATGAGACTGACGGCGAGCTTTGGCCCTACACTGCCTCGTCGAGAAGGTTTGCACAAGAGTTTCCTGTGGACTACATTCCAAAGTTCGATGAGAGAGCTGTTTCAGACGCAACGCTTGTCGGTGCTATGCATGAAGCAATGGTGAAGAGTATGCTCAAGGGCATGAAGACTTCATGTAAATTTCAATGCGACGGTTGTGATTCCTGCATCCCCGCAGGCCTAGCAGCCGAGCCAGAGAAGCCTGACATTTCCCCCAAGAAGGAAAATGCTGCTGTTGCTTATCTCCCGATGGGTTCTTCTCACATTCCATGGATCGCGGATACGGGCGCTGCTCAGGACTTGCTGTCGAGAACGGATGCGCAAATTGGGAGTATTTACGAATCATCTCAACCGCTGAAGTTTTCCACTCCCAATGGGAATATTCTCGGTACCGAGCAGGCCAATGTCAAGATCAAACAGACCGATAGTGTTGTTCGGCCGTATGTTCTTGACAAAACTCCATCCGTGTTGTCCGTGGGTATGAGATGCCTCAAAGACGGGTATGACTTCGTTTGGAGAGCACACAGCAGACCTTATTTCAGACTCCCGGATGGTTCACGCATCAAGCTCGAAGTCAAAGATAATGTGCCATTCATCCCTTCCGAGACCCAAAATGCTGTTCCAGCTTTGTCACAGAGCATTCCAAAGGTTACAGCTTTGCCATCAGCTCCCATTGAAATCGAGGATGAGGTCTTAGTCATTGACGAAGAACCAGAAGCTGTGGAGGAAGTGTTTGTGACCAATGAGGATGATGGGGACGAGTTGGGAAACGACGATTTCTTGCTTGAAAATGCTACCAGCCAACCGGAAGGTGAGGTCATTGAAGAGTGCCCTGACATTTCTTCTGAAGATGCGCCTAAGGTCATCGCTTCCGAGTTTGTGTCTAAGCCCGTTGTGAAGGATGCTCCTCGCGAACGCGGTGAAGCTGCTTTGCGTGATGAGGCAACCTCGCTCCAGCACTTGATGTGTCACACTCCCAAGAATCCCTTTTGCGAAACTTGTAACAGGGCGAAGATGTACAAATATCCATCAAGACAAAAGGGAGGTTCCACTCAAGTCGAGGCTAAGAAGTTTGGTGATCACCTTACGGCAGACCATCTTATAACTTCAGATGATCGCGAAATCGTTATGTTTACCCAGCAGCACGGAAAACCTCTCACCAATGCGTAATGGCCTTCAAACACTTTGTCCGCACCGGGGAAACCGTGAACATATTCTACAGTGATCGGGCTCCTGAACTTGTGAAAGCAGCGGATCAATTAGAATGGAAGCATGTTCAAAGTACAAACTACATTGCCAAAACGAATGCCATTGCCGAGAGGAACGTCAGGGCAATTATCGAGGGCACAAGGACCAACCTGGAACAAGCTGGTTTGCACCATTCATATTGGCCGCACGCGGCTAATCACTATTGCATGGCGCACAATATCACGGATCACCCAGATTATCATTCACCTTGGAAGGTACGTTTTGGCGAAGATTTTCCCGGACCATATTTGCCGTTTGGTTGTCAAGTCAACTTTTGGACTGGCCCGAGGAATCGACCCAACAAGCCTTTGAATTTTGAGCCTACCTCCAGGGCCGGAATATTTTTGGGGTATCCTATTCATCCTGACTTTCTTTGGCGTCACGAATTTCTTGTTATTCCTTTACGAGATTTGATGGAGAAGGACTATGATCAA